AATTTTCAACATTAGAATTGATATATAATTAATAGATTTCTTGAAGTTGATTATGAAACAGTTAATCATCTTTTATTTTCTTCTATTTATCACATTTTTTTTGTTACAGAAAAAAAAAAGAAATGAATATAAAGGAGGAGAAATACCTTTCCTCAGTCTTTGCATTATATACTGTCCCATTTAACATCTGGTCTTTGGTTTCGCCGCAGGTGTCTTGGCAGCTGTGTGACTTGGCAAAGATACTCCAGCCCCCCAATCTTCAGGACCCCCTGTAAAACCGAACCCGGAATGAGGGGGTTTGTAGGAGGCGCTGAATCTGAGTCTGGTGTGAAATATTGACCCATTTTCCCATTCAGTCTGTCAGTGACACTTTTTCTGAAAAGGTGAAAAGGACAGGGCTTCCTGCCCAGGGAAAACTGCCAACTGCACTTCTGGGTGCCCAGCCCCGCACTTCCTGCATCTGTTATTAGCTCCTGTGCTGGGCCTGGATGCTCTCTCCTCTGATCTCTCCTGGAATCTGCCCAGGGCTTGAGGAGAATGGTTCCTTGGTTCCTGTGGTCCTCGTGCCCCCTGCCTGTCTCTTGCTTTAGAGAGGTGGGTCCCTAGGGTTGCTCTGTATCTGGGGAGCAGCCCCAGGGCCCAGTAACTGCCCCACAGGTCAGGGCAGGCAGAGGTCAGCCGAAGATACATACATAGGGGTGTTGGCACCAGGGAAATAATTACTCCGGTGCATCTCATTTGCTCTGCCTGGGGCTAGTGGCTTCTTTCTTTCACTCAACAGGTTTATCAGCTTGGGGGTGGGTGGGTGGTGGTTTCCCAACGCTAGGAGTTCTCTTGCCTTTCCTGAGCAGCAGATGTTGGGGTTCAGGCTGGGCTCTGTATAGTGCCTGTTTATTACCTGCAGAGCGAAGGCGCTGCTCAGCTCCAGTGGATCCACTAGGTGCTGGAGCGGGTCCCTTTAGTCGTCACGGGGAGGTGGGACTCTAGGCTGTGTTATTTCCCCCTATTTCCCCACCAGTGCAGAAGACTGAGCTACTGTACTATCACTCTGAGCTGCGCATTGTCAGCCTGGCCTTCCTGCCTCTTCCCATGCTTACCTGTCCAGGCTCCCGGGGCCCGGGACAGGGATTGAGCACCGTGGCATGGTAGGCACCTGCTGTCATTCCTCCAAAAGCCCTATCTGTCCATCTTCCGCAGGAGGAAACTAAGGTACCGAGCGGTCAGGGCTCTCTTAGCTTCCACCTGGATCCCCCCAACCCTCAGCACTGCCCTTGCCCGGCTGCAGCTGTAAATGTTTGTAAGTGGAATGAGTTACCCAGGGGCCGGAGGAAGAGAGTCCATTTGTCTGCGTTGCCCCAAGTGCTTTGGACCAGAAAGAAGCTAGGTAGCACTGAACTTTAGAGAGACGAGGCCAAGGGCTTAACGACAAAGGTTCCTCGTGTCCTCTGTTGTTTTTGTCAGGGTGGGGGACTTTACTGAAAGGCCTTTTGGAGGCCTGAAGGGGCCTGGAGTGGGCTCCCAGGGCTGGGTGTGTGCCCTGAGGGGTGAAGGAGGGCGGGCTACAAGATGTCTTTTCCTTCATTGGTTGGATGGCCCTGTCCCCCTCCCCCCCTTCTCCTGGAACATTCCACACATTCCAGACTGCCATTGCTTTCAGGATATGGATTAACATCCCAAGCAGATATTTGATTTCACCACCCCAACCCCTCTCCAACCCTTCCCCACCCTGAAAAGAAAGCCCCTAAAACTAGGAGTTTGAAGTAGGAGGAGGGTATTTTTGACCTTTGACCTGAGATAATACTAAGGCCATTTGAAAGCTATTCAGACTGCACTGGGGTTGCTTTAGGCAGACAGCCGCCACCCCCCTGCCTTCTTCCAGAGAGGTCCCTTGGTGGTGGTGGTGGTGGTGGGGTCCTGGGCTTGGGGACCTGGCTGTGAGCTGGGTCACCGATCTCAGTCTTCCAAAGGTGCCATAATTCCTTCCTCGATTCTCCAACAGTTTGACTTCCACTGTAAGGGGTCCTGGATTTTCTCTGTCCATTTGGCCACCAAATGAGTCTCCCTCTTGGCCAGCGAGTTATCACAAGAGGGTGGATCTGTGGACCTGGGACCGGACTTGTGTCTGATCTTTATTCTTTTGTCCTGCTGTCGTCTGACCTCCTTAGATCAGATTCATGAACCAACCAAAGTAGACAGCCATGGACATAGATTCTCTTCACACTCACCCTCATGTCCTCCTCAGTTATTCCATCCCCAGGAGAGGTGTCCTTAACATACGTCATCCGTGACGTTCCACGCTCAGCCGCAGAGCTAGAAGGGTCTTGGAGACCCTTTCGGTTCCATTTTACAGCTGAAGACACTCGCGGTCCCCCAGGGGGGAAGTAAGTGAGCTGGCCCAGGACAGAGCCAAGCTGTAGTTAGAGCTTAGCATCCCTTCCCTCCCTTGGTGCCATGGGTTTCAACACTCCTTTCTCCTGGCTTGTCAGACACTGACATG